CCGACCCCCGACCCCCTCCCATACCTTTCCTTCTCTCTCGCTCTCACGCCCTTGCTCCTGCTAACCTCACGCAAGGTCTTAGCACACTTATCCTTCCTCGGAAAAGACAGTAAATCAACCTGATGTGAAGCGGGATCTGCAGGCCCCACCTAAAACCTGCCCTGCAGGCCGGCCTCAGGGCCCTGAGGCTCGCATACCAACAAATGTGTCCAATGTGTCAAAACAGCGCGGGTCGAGGTGCAGATCATCTCCTTAAGGAGTTAACTTAGATCAGGTATGAATACAGAAACAATTTTTTCGGCACGTAGTGACTTAGATACAAACTTTATACACTTTCCTGAGAAGTAACCCTAGCAAAAATCGTAGCAAACAGCCCAAAATCATGTAAAAGAGAAATTTTAAAAAGTTGACATACAACGAATGTTCGTTCAGAACAGAATATCCGCCATTCAACGAAAAACAGACACGGACAGAGATACACCACACACACAGCCAGCCAGCCCCACCCACCACGCCCCTGCGCCTCATGGCGCACACAGGCCCTGAGGGCCACCATGCGCTGAGCCCAAAACCACTCCACTGCGAAAATTTCCGAGAAAAAAAATTAATTATGCATGTCTCCTTTCCGTCTTGTCTGCTTCATGCATGTGCTCTGCTCTTTCTTGCAAAATGTTCTCCTTTTTTCCTCCCTCGCATCAAAGCCCTTGGGAGGGGAAAGCGGCCCAGGCCCAGGCCAACGACGGACACAAACCACGCGGAAAATGGACAGGGGTAATTAACTGTGTACTAGGGGGGGGGGGGGGGGGCGGCCTGGCGAAGGGCCGCGTGCGAGGCGGCGCCACCACGGCCGCATCCGCCTCACGGAAGCAAACACGGCCTGTTCGAACGCGACCCGCTGTCCACAAACGGACGCCTGAGACGCCAATTTGGTCCGGAATCACTTCCCGGGGCGACGTCCGCTCGAGGACAACACAGACCTGCTGCTAATTGAAGTGCCCCTCCCCTCC